ATGATACGTCATGTTTGTAGTCGACCAATGAAGATGAGTTTACATATCACCTTGGGTTCGTCCTTCACCTTCTCAAAATGATCCCACACTTTGGATTTCCTGCCCGACATGTTATTAACTAGCCTGTGGAATAACCGCAGGTACCAGCCCTGGAGATTAACCTGACTCCTGTCTGACTGCTGAGCGTGGACACTTCCTGTGTCTGTCCTTTCACATTAAAGTCACACATGGTCCAGTCATATAGGTTTGGATTTATTTTGACAAAGTGCAGCTCCTGATAGAGTTTCAAGTTTGTTTGTTTGTTTGTTTGTCTTTATTGTTTGTTACACAGTTTCAACAAACTCTGAACATAACCTTCATGAAGGAGGATATACTGCAGGACTGTCTTTATTAGCTTGCATTAGATTTAGCTAGGTGTTCCTAATAAACTGAACACTCGGGTGAATTCACAAAGAAGGGATTGCGGTTGCTGAAAGCGCTATGAATTAGGCATCACTTGCAACCTCTGCCTGCCCCGTCTCAAGGTCTGATTCACAAAAGATAATAAAGTGCAAAAATGGCATAAAGTTTCGCAGCTTAGTGAAATTTGCCAGTTTTTGGCATCTGATTACAATTATTCATGTGACAAAGTGTAAATGGTGCCTTTGTGCCGAGAACACAGCAGACAGACTGACAGCTACAGGTTCTGTCCGTTGAGGTGCAGAGGCGTTCCTCAAAACTTCCAAAGGAATTTAAACGTGACAGAGAAACTGTATTTGGGGATTTAATATCAGTGAGCTTCAGTTCCCAACAACTTTCTGAAGACACTCATAATGTCACTGTAGCTGTGTGTGGCTGTTAGCGCTGGTCTCTGTGAGTTGGGCTGTTGCTGTGATGAGGATCATTTCCATAGAAGGAGGTTGATTCTGCATCAAATGTATAAATATTACCTCAGTTAGCTGCGTGCAAACAGCACAGGAGCTCTGAGGCGCGTTTGCTTGGCAGCACAGTTAGAGGTGTATTGAGACATGTCCAGCTGCAACCATGTTCTGTT